CCGCCCGAAAGGGCAGGTAGTAACACGCCTGCCGTAGAAGGGCTTTTAAGAGTATGAGTGGGTCTGCCCTAAGCGGTGGACCCAAGGAGGAGTGTAGAAATACCTTCTCCAGCAGTGCAGTACTGTAGGTCAGTAGCAGTTCTTACAGTGCAAGCTTTCTTTCCTGTTGCTTGTTCAGGCCCAAGGCCCAAAGAACATTCATGCAACATCACAATCATTCATAGTAAGTAGTAGCAAAGTAGCAACACTTACAATTTCACCAAGACTTTCAGGATTTGCTTTAAGTGCAAAAAGAGTGCTCCTGTGTTCGTGCCATGGGTCCTTTCCTTAGAAGACGAAACACTGGGACACCTGAAAATCTTCACGTAATCATGCCTGGTAAAGCGATTCAAGTTGCGAGAGCCGTATTCGGCTGCTCTGTTTGAGATGACCGCAATGGCAACGGCCTCCTAAGAGGTTTCCGGGCAGCTGCAAAGCTCTCAGCCCTCTGGGCTAGGTTTACGGAGATGATACATGCACTCTTGCTTTATCTTTTGCCCATGCTTCTACAATGCTTTCTTTTCCTTATACTGGTACACCATTCAGACACCACTGGCATTCGCTGAGGTGTACCTTCCCGCGAACTTCCCAGCCTCCTATGCCATGGACGTCTTGGGCTGTCGAATTTCGCTCAACAGAAGTAGGGATGGTACAGGAATCATAGTGGACTATGCACAGGGGTGTTGTCGGGATCCTTTTGGATCTTGAATAGTTTGTATGTAGGACTCTTGCTTCTTGTCGCTTTGCTTTTTGCAGATAATGTGGAATTGAGGGCCGCTGGTGTTAGGGTTGAGGACTGGGAAACATCGGTAGCATCTAACCAGATTGACTATGTGTAGCTCAAAGGAAGTTGTCTATAGCGATTTGAGGCCTTTGCAGGGATGATGTCAACGTACTACATAATGCGCACACAGACTTTCTTGGTTGACTGTACTGCTCGCTTTTGTGCTTAGGATGGGCTTTGCTGATTGGCGGCTGCCTACAGACATTGGGAGCTGTTCTGAGGCGCTTTGCAGTGGTAGGGGTTGGAATTAGTGTGCAGGCTTGCGGCTTTAGGGTATGAGGGTGGCAGTATGGCGTGTGCTAACGGCTTGGGGTTCCGGGGTGGACCTGTGGTCTAAGATTTCTGAGAATCACTCGCACGCCTTGTTGTGAGAACTATATGCTGTGATGTGCTGCTTATTATGCCAGCAATACTTGGTGGGTCTAATTCTTCTTCCTGCAGCAATGGGCACATTGCGGGTTTCCTCGCATTTCACATTCCATGGGTTGGAATTTGCAAGTCTGCTGCTGACCCTCTTCAGGTGCCTGCCGGCCGATCCTGTCACTACTCGATACCTGGTGGCTTGGCCAGGGTGTAGTCACCAAAGCTCGGGGTACATACTGCTTCCTTGTTTGGCTGCCCAAGCCAAACTGAACTCATTTAAAATCGCCATCATAGGAGACGTCGTGTCGTCGTCGTCGCAGTCATAGCAGCAGCACCAGCTGTATGTGTAGCAGCAGTACTGCCGCTAATTCTAGATGTGATAGCTGTCAATTCCAGTACAAGTAGTCGCCAACTGCCCCCACTGTCTATGCTCCTTGAGACCATGTAGAATCTGAGGAAATCCGAATTTGAGACTTTGCTACTTTGAGGGAGCTCTTGGTAGACGGTGGGGGCGGGGGGTCGAGATTTAGAGGATTGAGCGTTTGGAGGGGTGGAGGCATAGGGGGTTGGGTAGGCATGACAACGTAAAATTTGAATTGTGAGCATCTTTGTCGCATCGTGTTTCACACACACACACAGACACACTTCACCCACGGGACCCACCCAATCGCGCCGGATCTTTTTATGCAAGATGCAAGGGAACATGTTTGGTAGGCAGGCTGGCAAGTAGGAGTAGCGGCAGCAGAAGTACGGGCAGTGGCTGGTACAACCACTCTGAGCAACAAGGTCATGACTGGGCAAGCCCTGGCTGCTGCTGGGCAGCCCTTTTTCACAGACATGCCGCCCAAGCCGACTGGCATGCAGTTCTATTGATGCAGGGTTTTGGTAAAGACCTATAGGCAATACATGGAAATAGTGCAGAGATGCTAGGTACCGCCCAATGCCATTATCTTGTGAAACCCACGCTTAGTCCTCATGTACCTCCCTCAGACTTAGGTAGTCGTCAAATGTATAGGGTCCCTTCTGAGATTCTGAAGGTCCCTTCCAGTGCCTGTAGAAAGGCAGTCGAATCACGTGAACAGCAGATGTTGTGTTGGTCTGAAGATGGCGAAGGGACTGGTGCCAGCAGTTGAATTCGTGCTATTTGACAAGTACTGTTTGCTGATTTATGTGATCAGCAACCATAGTTTGGGCAATTTTCTTCGAGACCAAGTTTTGTATGGGCATTCCTGGAAACTGGTGTTGCCCTTTCTAGCCCAGGAAAAGGACCACTCAAAAACGCCCCAGCATCTTCATAACTCCCATACGTATCAGGATTGCAGCAGATTGGTTCCCTGCCTACCAACGAGTGTTGGCAGACACGCTGGCCTCGACCCTTGGCATGTAAACGATATAATTTTCCCTATCATCATCAGTCATTTGATTGCTGTTTCAATTCTGCTTCTGGTGGTGACAGATACCCCTTTCATTTTCCCATATGCGTATACTCCTGAATGTCCTTGCATCAGGCTTACTGTGGCCTCATCTTCTTGAATGAAGCCACTATGCAACAACCCTGCGTAATCCCCACAGCCTTAACAAGTTGTGCTCTTTTCAGTACTGAAAAATTATCCTCAGCCTTGGGAAACTTGCAGGCTGTCAATCTCCGTCGGCGCAGCTGTAGGCTTTGTGCTGCCAGTGGCCTTCGGCTCCTTGAACAGGGATTATTACTCCCTTTGTAGGGTCTCTGCCATAGGATTTGCCAAGGCTTAGGGGTACGTGTTTGACTAGGCCTCCACCAAATGCTCTATGTGCACCTGGCATGGTCGGCACTGTGCCCTGGCAGCGCGTAAAGTGGGAAGTCGTGGGTGTTTGGGCGGGATCCTGAAGGGTAGAGATGCGAAGGTTGTGGCCTTAATTGTTGGCAACCTGTAATTGAGAAGAGACAAAGGAAAGGACCTGCCAATGAGGGATTGAGGCAGATTCCCGGCCACGAGCTGAGCAGGCGTTTGCATGCGGTAATGCCCACAGTTTTGTTTGGTGGATTTCACTCCCATCGGGTATCATGTCGGTTTCCTGTTAAAGCATGTCTCAATCCCAACGAGACCACCGTCAGCTAGGAAAGTCTCCAGCCCAGTCAGATTAGTCCACAAAAAACTCACAAGGCTGCACGCCCTCGCGAGGAAAATCAGCTTCCCGGTTGTTGAGATGGGGACAGTTGCATGAATTCAGGAAAGGCCGCCAAAAAATCTGCACTCCCTCTATAGGCCTTCGGTTGGAACACGGGGCTGGAAAGGTCTCTGATCCTGATCTTGGCATTCTTTCGATCATCACCTGCAACACCTCCGAGCCCGCTGTCCACGCAGCGCCATGAGGTGGGAGCTGGTCCTGGGGTTTAATGACGACCGAAAGTCCATTCGGATTGTATATATTGTGGCGGTCCGCAGAAGATCCAAATTGCTAAAGCGCCAACCGGTTGACCACGGCACAACCCAAATAATGAACCGTTCGCGAGTATCCTGGGGTAGTGTTGCAGCTGCAGAAGCCTACGCAGGATGTCTCTGTGAGTGTTCTTTGTGTGGTGGTTATAACCCTGAATCATCGTTGCTTGTGCTGCTGTCGTCATCATCATCACGCTGCTGCTGCTGCTGCTGCTGCTGCTGCTGCCAGGCAGCTGCTGCTGCCGCCGTCACAGCACTGATTTCTACCATGGCTACTGCTTGCGCCATTGCTAGTGCTGCTGCTGCTGCTACTATCACTACGACGGCGGTGACAACGACAACTACTGCCACGACTACCTTGCGTGAAAAGCATGCCCTACTTCCAGCAGCTGTTGGGACTGCAACAAGTGCCGATGCCAATTCATTGTTGTCACTTGTTGTTGCTACAGTGATTTGTTGGTGTCAGACTCCAGTCGTGTGAGGGCAAATCTTTTGGCGCGGAGCTCCGAAACGCGTTGGGCAATGGCAATTTGTGCCTCGGAAAGGTCGGAATGTCCTATTTATAGACCATGCTTGGTCGACCTGGATTCATAGAGTTACAGGGATTGTATGCGGAGTGGACTAGGGGAGATGGGCGTCTGAGAAAAAGCCCTTTTGTTTTGGGCCACTGGAACTAGTGGGAGGATACAGACGGCCCAGTTGAGACTGCTTCCCTATTCTTACTGGGGTCTAGCCACCGCTCATCAAGTTGCTGCTTAGGTGGTGCTTGATCTTGTCCTTCAGCTGCAGCTTGGGCTCTTTCAACACCCTGAGCACCCTGGCAGCGCAGCTCGTCGGCCCGTTTGGCTACAGCTCAGATGACGCTTCGATCTTCGGGGTGGCCTGCACCATTTGCGGTGTCTTCGGTGCCCTTGCAGCTTGGTCGGCTAGTTTTGGAGAAGATTCTCTGGGATGTGACTCTTCGTGGCCTGTACGATCTTGAACATACCCGTGAATATCCAACCTTTGTGGGAAGAATCTAAGCCTGGTTCAGGTGATGTCCGTTATCGTCGGCCTCACGGGAAAGCATAAGGCCGTCCTTACAACCTGCTGCGTGCTTTGTGTACTCTTCGCCGTGCTGGCTGCCTCAACAGTCATCTATGTGGGCAGTGGGCCAGGCTCAGGGACGAAATAGCATGAGAACAAAAGCGCCTGAACTTTTGAGGGAAATTTCCCATCTAATTTTTTAATTGTAGGAACGATTTAACTCAAGCACGCAAATTTTGTAATCTGAGTTATCGCGATTAACATGGTTGCTACTACCAGACGTATTTTGCTGTTTATGGGCGAAAGGTTTGTTTTCTAACAGACCTTTGTCGACAATGTGGGCTAACATAAGTGATATTATTGTGAATGGCAATTGATTTATTATCAATCGTGCAAGTTAGTTATTCTAGATTGCCACTGATCGTATCGCAAAGTCGCAAGTGCCGTGAAACTGCCCCTTACTGCTAGTCCTCACGTTTCGCTCTGGTTCCTTTCTGCCTGCTGACAGTAGCAAGTTTGTCAAAGTTTCTTATACAATCGGACCCCATAGTCATGCTTTTACAAAGTGGCCTTGGATCCGTAAAGGGGCGTTCGCAACCCAGGAAATCCCCACGGTAAACCCTAAACAGCAAACCCTAAAACTCATCGACTTCAAGAACACCCTCCCAAATGAGAACTACCATGCTAATACCCCCGAAGCAACTTGAGACCCGATCGGGTTTAACAACGTCACCAAAAAACTTATACTATATGATATTTTAAGGTATTTTACTATATTGTACTGTAACATACTATATTATATTATCTTATACTATACTTTACCATCTTATATTATATAATGGGTGGTATACCTTATATTATAAGCCTAAGACCCCTGGAGGAGGCTTGGAGCTCTTGGCTGTAGCCTTTGCTGGCCTCGGCTTCTCAGCCACCCCAATGATGCCCATCTCCTTCGAGGCTTGTTATTCCTCGTGGGTAGATTAGGGTGCATTTTGGTACCTTTGAAGGGATACAGGGGTTATATAGGGGTATATATAGGGCTTAGGGTTTAGGTTTATATGGGTAGTTCCCCACATTAGAGTCCCGTTTTGGTACCCCTAAATGTGGGGTGCTGTAATGGAAATACCCAACAGGGGCTCATAATTTTGAGAAGAACCCTTGTGTTTTGCTCTTACTTCTCGAATGGCTAGTGCCTTTTATAGCGACCAGGGTTGCTGGCGGACAATGTCAGGTATTCTTGTTTAGATTTCGTTTGGTTTTTGATTGCCGTTCTGATTCTTGAGACTCTTCAACAAAGTTGTGTTTCCCTCAAATTCCTTCTCACTAGTTTCGAAATGTGCTTCGACAGAAATTCCTCTATCACCTTCACTGCTGGTAGCACTGCTCTGGTGATTCCCGCTACCATAACCATCAAAATTGAAAAGGCTTACCTTGTCACTCTGCCTCATTCCAAGGCGGCCGTGGTGGTTGGGCATCCCACTGGAGAGGGAACGCTGGCTGGACTCTGTATGTCTGGTGGGCAAATCCTTGGGATAGGCCCGAGTCCAGCTTGTTCGAAAGCTCGCATCAGTATCAGGAGCAGTGGTGACGGTCATCCAGCCCGTACTATTTCTAGAAACTGCAGTGATACGATTCTACTCGTCAGTCTCATCCTTTCGGCTGTGTTACGCTTGACAAGCATGACATATCCTTGCATGGTTTGTATGCTTTGCATATGGCAATAGTGGAAGTGTGAGTTAGTAGAGTTACAAGAGGAATACTGCGTTGGTTCCTATCGTTTCTGAAACACGTTGTTTGTGACTGCTACTAGCCATATCGGGATTTCAGACTCAGCTGCATTCGAGAGTGTTTCAATCAATACATTTGGCGGTACCCTAGCTATCATCAATTTGATCAAGGTTGTTGTTAGCATGGTTCTCAGCCATACAGGAGACCAGGCAATCTTATTGCTATCAGTCTGATTCGTGCTCAAGTTATAGTGTTTCTGCGCCACGGCGACAGCAATGAGTGAAACTACAACTCCGAATACTACAGCAACTAGTACGAGGAGGAGGAGGAGGTGATTCTGGGGGTGGTATAGTGTGACAGTCATTCTAGAACGCTGAAACCTGCACCCGTGAACTTTTTGGCTGCTTTAAGTTCCAAATCTGAGCGATCCTAAAACCCTAAAAGGCCCAAACTGCTAGGTCAGACCCTGATTCTGGGACAACTTCTTCAGAGCGGCCACCCAAAGGCTGCTTGGATCCTCTCGGGCGGGCTGCTTGGCGAAAGCGGAGGCAGTTTCTACGTTGTCTGGCAGGGTTGAAAGAAGGGTTAAGTGGGTGTAGGCTTACCGGGTATGTGGGGCTACATGTCTTCGTAGGGTTCTGTGTATCTTCACTTTGAGATGTATCTATTGTAAGCGATGGGGAAGGCCATTCTAGAGGTCTTGCTGCGTGTTTCATGATTTTGGCCCTGGCTTCCTTAGGGTGGCGATGCTCCAAGCATGTTTTGCTACTTGGAGATTCCCCGAAAACTGGGGTTGTTAGCTCTCCTCTCAATGGATGCAAGCATATCTTCGAAAGACTGATAAGTAAATCGCTGCCAGGCCTCCATCATCATGAAATAAGTCCGTATTGTTAATGAAGTGCGCATGATCAAGATATGTAAAAATCCCCTCCAAGAAAGAGGTGGTAAGAGTCAGAAGCTCGGAGATCCAAACAGCACAGCGCAGACGCAAGCCAGAGGGTTGAAACTCTGGCCATGCGCATTCACCCTCAATGGCACCCAATACAACCCTTGAACTTGTTGCAAAGGAACAAAGCAGTCAAAAAAGCACATCGCTAAATCCTGCACCCAAATCGTAAAATTCCAAGCCACGTTTGAGGCTCTTCGGGTTGGCCCTGCTTGCCGTGAGCATCCTGGATGCACTTGGGGCTTTTTGAGGTTCGGAGTTCATGGATCTAGGTTTCGATTTGGGGGTGTGTGTATGTGGCTAGCCACTCGCCTTAAGCTTGCAACTTTGTGTTGTTTTGCATGTCTTCAACAACCATGCAGCCTATCCTAGCTTATACCCTCAATGCCAGACCCTAAACCTGAAGCCCGAAGTCCAGGTTTGTTTGCGCCCAAAAGCCAGTCCTACCAGCTGCCGCTGCTTGAGGAGTCCGATGTAGAAGACTCTCGGACCTCCTCGTCCTCATGAGGGGTTTCATCAAAACTAGTGTCCCCTTAGAACTACTACGTACGATCTTAATAATCAGAACAATCCTGCGAATTTCCTGATTTGAGAACTCCCCCATGAGACAGCCCTGTAGTCCGGACTGTTTGGGTCCGTGGCTCTGGGGCCAGTTGCTTGAGTGATCTACAAGATCAACTGCTCGGGTCTGCGTCGTGTCTCCATATTGTGTGATACATAGGAACTGCAAGAACCCATAAACAAATAAACAAGAATGTGGAGACATGTGCAAGAACGTCCAGTATGGGCACTGATGCCTTGGCTTGCTCAATGGCGGGCAAAATGACAGCGACGTTCCTTCCAGATTTACAGGCCCAGAGATGTGGCTCCCTCAGTTTGATGTCACGTGTACGCTTGACCAGCTGCAGGGCTAGAATCCAAAGGCTTCAGACTATTTCGCTTGATGGCCACTTGCAGCTCGAGACATGACGTCATCCCATTTCAGAAAGCATTCAGACCAGGTTGCTTCCCCAGGTTTTCCGAGCACTCAGATCCTGACCCTAGTGCACACAAGATATCACCAACTTCTACCAGCAGCCTGAAGTCACCCCAAGCAGGCCCTAAGTTAAGACGACCAACGTACCAGCAACTCCAGGGCTTGAGCATCAGATTTACGTTCCAACGCCTGGAGTTCTGAAGCAGGCAGCGCCATGCCGCTCTTCAGCTGCAATCAGTAATCAGGGTGAAGTGTCGGCAGCGCCGAAAGCAGCCAACAGCAGCTGGAGCCGCCCTTGCACAACAAATCGACTCAAACATGCTAGAAAGTGGGTGCCTAAAGCATCTTGTAGCAAAGGGTTCCCACAAAGGCTGTTTTTGTGTTTACATATGCGTATATACCCCTGACCTGTAACAGCAACCCAAGGCCGGATGCTGGCCGACGTGCGGGGCTTGGCAAGCGGGCACCAGAAGTGCTTTGGGGACTGAGGGATGCAGTTGGGGTTTCATGATAAGTTTAAAGGTGAGGGATTGTGGAGTTTCTCAGTGCTCTGGCCGCTCTTTTGGTGGGATTCTGATGGTACAAACACAAGTTCTGAATCGTGATGAGTGCGGGCGAGACTGGGTTCCTGGCATGGTTCTGAAAGTAGAGGCAGGATCCTCTGTGCATCAGGAGTTGTCTGAAGACTTATTGGCCAAAACTAGACCATTCTTGACCATCAGGGCTTCTCGAAATTCGTTTTGAGAACACAGAAGACTCTGCTTCCAAGAAGCGCACACCTACGCAGACCAAATCAGACTGAACATGTTTGTGCGTACCGACCTCCATGGGCCAGGGGATGGCGGTCGTGCCTTGACCCAGGTGGGGTCCGTGTTAGCAGAGTTGCTGCGTTGAGTATATTCTTGGGGGGTTCCTTGGGTTGGAGGTCTGTGTCACGATCGGGCAAAACAGGGTTGGAAGGTTTCTGTAGAAGCTTGCGGGAGTTTCTTGACATCAAGGATTCTGTATTTGAGTTCTCATACCACTGGGGGCTTTTTTGGGCTTATGTACTGGGCCTTGATGTTGACAATTCCTCCTTTCATGTCCGGGATTCTGGCAGGAGATGGTTTTCATGCGGACGAAGTGCAACCGCATGGCTCCAACCTCAGCAGGGGATTGCTTTGGGATCAGAGTTCTCTGCCTATACCTCAAGATCAATCGGCAGGTTTTCAAGCAATGTCAAGCCTTCCTGCACTTGTTCCCATCATGGCAATGTCTTCTGTGCTTATTTAGCCTCAGACGATTGCAAGCCTGAGGATCTCATCAAAAACTTGAACTTGTGGGGCAATGACCTACAGGACAGCCCCGATTCAAAGCTGCGCCAGAGAGTCAGCGAGACTTCTCAGCAGAATTCGTGAACTCACCTGCTGCACCTGAGTTAGAGTGACTTGCTTCACGAACATGCAGATTCACAGCCGCACAGCCTCTGCTCGCTGCCAGGACATCTCTGTCTGCAGCCAAGCTTCAACATCCGAAAAAGGGAACATGCTACTTTGGAAACCAAAGGAAAGGCTGCAGAACAGCCCTGTCTGACAAGTGCTGGGCACTTCAGGGTCTTTGAAAGAATGATCTCCGCACTTTGGACTGTACATCCTTACCCAAAGGCATCTGCAAGTCGGTAAGCACAATGAGTTCCGGCAATGGATTCGTGAAATGACTCTGCCAAACGTAATTGAAGTTCTGGAGTGGTCAAACTTGCTTACCCCTAAAACCCTTTAGAGCCCTTTATGAGCTTTAGTGTGCACTCCTCAAGGGGGGTTACAGGGGGGATATTGCCCAAGGCTAGCGGGAGCCCAAGAGGTCCCCGAACTAAACAACTGCATGCAGCGAGGTCATCCAGTCCATGCCAAACCTGGAGGCCAGACTGCATTGTTGAAGTATGTACAGCTGACTACACCAGCTTGCGCAGATTTAAATGCGATTTTGCGAGCATGTCCCAACTGTATAGGAACTGCCTGGACCGGACAGTCTTTTCAGTTGCAAAGTGGTTTGGGATGGTACCCGCCCGCAGTGTCACAATCCAGTTGTGCGCCTCTCATGGGATTTTCGAGGGGAGTGGGGAAATGGGGACGAAGAACTTCCTGTGCTCAGACTTCCCCCCACGTCACCGCTTCCAGTCCTCTCTGGCCTAGAAACAGCAGGTTCTCAGCCTCAGCGTGAACCAAGTCAACACGCTGGTGGATCTTCAGCCTTCCTCTGAGCTTTTTTCAACGAAGGACTAAGGAATCGTCTCAGGGTTGACATTAGTATGCTTGAAGCCCCAAGCAGTCCATGGTTGGTTGCAGGCCCATTGGAACTCAAGAAGCAGTGACGCAATGGTAATCTGCATCAAGCACCGTGTGGTTCCGACCTTCCTCCATTCCGTACTTGCCGATAGCTGGCACCATCGAACTCGGGCAAGCACAGCCTTTGCTGCAGGCATTGCCCAAAGCTTTCAGAGCCCCCAGCTCAGTCGGTAATTGTGCTGTCCACGACTCTCCTACTAGGGTTTTATTGTGGCTGACGTTTGAGAGTTGGTGCTGTGAACCATGCTGATAGGTCAAATCAAGCGTCTACCGCTCCTTGAGGTTGTATCTCAGGAAGAATGAGATCATGGACCTGCTCTGCACTCAGAGGACATTGAAGATGGCTTGAAAAGCTGTGCCTTCACGATTTTTTGTGCAAGACATCACTTGTGAGCCTTGCTTTTTCATTGCCTGTTAAGATCTGACGGCTGCCGTAGTCACGTATTCCAGACCCTTCATATCAGGTCGGAGATCCTGTACCTCAGACACTTGAGGCGGATGAAGGCAGCACCGCCCAGGATTCAGTGCTTAGCTTGACGGAGTGGATAATGCTAAGCAGAAGCCCCCACTTAAACACCCCAAAGAGGGAACAACAACTTCCTCCTCAAATCAGGATTCCACGTGTTTGCTAGGCAGAATCTGTTTCGGCTGCGGATCTTGGGCAAAGACAAACTACTGCGCGATGGAAGCGCAGGTCCTGTGGCTTGCAGACAACCCATGCGCTGACCTGCCGTGCCCCCTTTGTGCAGCATTTTTACTGAGAAAGTAGAATCAGCGTACTAGTGGGCAGTAGTTATGCTGCATATAAGGGCGAAACCCACACCCAGCTGAGCATTTTGTTGAGCACTTGTAGATCCAAATATTATCCCTTACCTGTTGACCTCGGGAGTTGCCTGCATGCAGGTACTACAGACAGTATATCCTGCATCACCTGCCAAACCTCACAAAGATTGACGCAGAGGCTGCCTCTGAGAGTCCATCCTGGCTAGGCAACGAGTCTTCACTAAATCGTAGAACAGAGCTGTTTGAGGAGTTCTTAACATTCGTGGAACGAAGTAGCATCAGGCTTTGGCTTGCTGCATAAATCACAGGTAACTGACCTCTTTCTGTGTAAGTGACACTTGACAATCCTAATCGAGCGGTTCCAATGACACAATGTTTTTGGGATGACACGACTTGCAGATGTTCCTGTTCCACAGGACGATCATCTTCCCCCAACATTTCGTTGAATGCAGGGGGCAGGATTCGTACAAGAGCGGCCGGCTCCATAGGGCATTGCGGATATTTGAAACTCTACAGCCGAACGCTTGCACATTAAACCCGATCTCTCATCCCAGAAGATCCTTGCGGCGCTCCATTTCATCAGGACGTCACGGAGGAGGAGCGGCGGGACGCGCAGATGGTGCGCCGCCCCGATCGCGAGAGTTGCTACTCAACGTTGGACAGCCATTTCATGTGAGGATTGATATCGTTTCTGCCATGCAAACTTGTCATTAACAACTGTGAATGCGATGTGTGTGTGTTATTATCAGAGTGATGAATCTGTATTTGATTGATGGTTCGACGGCTTTACATTTTGCAGATTGCCGCCATAGCACGCGTCGATTCCATCACTCCTGCAACTTGTCGGTATGTGTCCATGATGGGCCAGGTTGTTCCAGGTGATAATGCTGCCTTTCTTGTCACATTAGAACCGTAAGTAAAACCCAATTCCTTTGTATACCTACGCCCAGTATATCAGCCCTAGAACCCTTTTTTGTTCTTCCCGCTTTTAATGACTGCGAGCAGCACGGTTTCCACTGTGAGTTTACCTCCATCATCAGCATAGATTGTCATTTTCTTGGTTGTGTGCATGAAGAGTGAAGTTTTTGGGATCAGGGCCCCTCATTCCATGACTGCGTCTGCTGGAATCGTGCGCAGAAAGCCATTTAGTTCAGAAACTCATCATACATTGCCATCCTTGCCTTCGAGGCATGCCTTGAGACTGCAGTGGCTCTGAGTCATTGGTCCCATTTGATATCCTCAAATGAATGCAGACACCAATGTGGAGGTCCGTAGCCAGATCCTGGTTTTGAGAAGTGCGCAACTGCACATCAAGAAAATGCGTGGCCTTCACAAAGGGGAGTCAGGATGCCACATTTTCCAAGCATTTTTGCAAGGGTCATTGGGATCCCAAGAGGAGTAAGACGCCATTTCCGTCAAGCTTCTCTGGTCAGATCTCAAGACTGTCATCCTTCGTGACTTTGAGCGGCTTCGCAGAAACGGATTCATCTAAATTTGAGCTGAATCTCTTCATGCTCTGAGATCGACTTCGGTGGGGTGGAGACCTGTCCACTGGACCGGGCCGGCCAAGGCCCAAACCACAGGGCTTGCGGCGAGAACAGGGTACGTCTTTTGAAATGTAAACCAATTGCTCCTTCTGATGGAAACTGCCATGTACCAGTAGTTGCGGAAGCTCTTGGAGCAGACCTGACCAGTTGGGATAGCAAACACGTGACAAGGGCAGCAGCGATCTCCAAGCAAGTCTAACAGCTTCAATGTAAAGCGCAGTTCTTTTGCCTTTAACATCACAGAAGGCCTTTTGGTTGCAGGAACAGTTGGACCTTGTTTGACAGGCTTCCTTTAACAATATCTCTTCTTAACCCTCCGAAGCTGGCACTGAACAGAGCGTTGAAAACAAGTGTAGCACGTTGTCCATCATGAAGGCCTTGCCAACCGCAAGCCATGCTTCATCGGATTTGCCTTGTCAATGCCAAGAGAAGCCCACAAAGCCCTCCGAGGCTAGGCTAGCTTGGCCAGGTGAATTCATGTGCCACGTGGACGAGGCTGAGCCCTTGCCAGACGGAGGTCTGGTCCTTTCAAGCCATCCAGATAGACGCTTTAACTGAGGGGTCATTGTTGATGTAGAGAGGACGTAGACAATGTGGATTAAGTTTTTAACTGGTGAAGGACCCCCTGAGAGTTCCGATGACAACTTGCACGCACAGCTCGCACACGACATTGTATCTGTCAGCATCTGCCTTTTCTCTTCCGATGCAAGCCTTTCATGTGCTGCATGAGGCTGCAAGAGGGGTCAATGCTTCTCTAGAACTAACCATAGTTTCTGCGGCATGACTTCAAGAGTTTCGCATGTCACAGTGGGCTTTGCATAAGGTTTGCGCCGCAATCGTTCCGAAAGCGAGGACTCCTATGCCAGAACCCTGGACACAAAGCCATCCCAGCGCAGCGTCTCACTATCAAGCAAGGTCGAAGCACCCGCCTAGTGGCTGACCAAATGGCGCAATGCCAAACATCTTTGTGACCCACATTTTAGAAGTATCTGATGCGCCCAAGGATGATGTACCACGGGCGCGCGAGGCGGGACTGGACCGACTGGGCCACAAACTTCAATTCAAAGACGAACAGAATTCAGAGTACCCTCGACCTTCTGTTTACAATTGTACGGGTTCCAAGAAGCATGAGGCACTTCCCTTTTGCAAGAGTCTACAAAGGGCTCTGAAGTCCGTGTGCATATGTGTTGACCATCTCTGGAGCATTGATCTTTTGAGGAACCTTGACGGAATGGAGGCTGCCAGGAAAGGCATGAAGAAGCATGGAGAAGCATGTTTGTGTTTTCCAGCATTGGCTCAGTGCGGACACGATGGCTCCGGCTCCAGTGGCCCAGGAAGCCGGAGGCCGACGTTCGCGCCAGTCACTGGGGATGCTGCTGGGAGAAACCACCCTGCCGTCTCATCCCCATGGACGGGAGCTCAGTTGAGCGACCTTTTCTTCTTTCGAATCTGTGTCTGCTAGACACCTGCTTGCTTCAGGTCGCCGCTGTCGCTGTACCAGCGCGGTACTCCTGGTTGCAACCCTGGCCCTGGCAGGATGGCTGCCCTTAGCAGCCATTGGCTTCCTCTTTCCGGGCCAAGAAGCAAGACCACAAGCAGGACGCCGTGAGGCAGTGCTTGCCGCGCTGGCAGCAACTGCAACTCCTCTCCTGCCAGGTCAGGCCATGGCGGTTGATGCTCCTGGTGCCACCGCTCCTGTCTTTGTGGATAGCGCCATCTTTGAGCGCTTGGAGCACTTCAAGGACATCGGAGTTCCAGCAACATTGCAGGATCCCATTGCACGTGCGGCAATCGCAGACGGCACGTGCCGCTCTGTCGTGGCACCCGGATCAGGTCCTTTCCCCCTGGATGGCTACGATTTCTGGCATCACAACCCCGAACGCGTGGATGCAGTTCTAAAGGCGCTTACACAGCTGCCTTCCACATCACAGCCGTCGAAGTTTGTGAGGGCGGCTAAGAAGCAGTTGCCAAATGCATGCTTCTACGGTTTCCGAACGGAGACCAACAAGCTGGAGCTCTACCAGCCGACTGCATTGGCCAAAACCCTTTCGAATTGGCACAGGGTTCTCTGCGACCCTCAGTGCGATGATCCTGCAGAAGAGCCCCAGCAGCAGGCCCTCACCACTGGTTTCATCTGCATGGCTGTCTGCGACACCGCCAAGATGAAGTTCACTGCTGCAGCCATCAGTGCCCTCTCTGCAAGCACGGCAGCAACACAATCAGCAGCTATGCAGATTAGCGGCACTGTTTCTCTTGGTTGCCTCTAAGATCTCTGACGTAGTTTCTGCCAAGGCAAACACAAGCACCAAGGTCACTAAAAGCATGTGCGCGGCAATGCCTTGGACTATCACCAGGGGTCCACTCACACCACTGGATGGCCTTAAGTCCTATGAAGCGATAGCCGGGGCAACGGTACCATGGCGAAAGGTGTGTGGTTGCACGGCGTGATATCTGCTGGATTGGAGGGTTTCCTATCCCGTGCTAATGGATTGTGGGTGGCTACAAGACAGTTTTTTGCGGTGCTGCAAAACGACTTCTGGATGATGAGATGCCCCCGTGACCCTCTCACATTTGCGAAACATGTAGAAAACTCCATATGAGCCATAGTCTAGAATCCTAGTACCCTTCATAACCCCTGTAGTAGTCCCCCATGTAAGCCCCTTCAAAGAGTTTAGATTATAGCTCATATGTTAGATGCGACTGCTGTCTGACGGGATGTGTTTGATACATTCCAGGCTGCAGTCAAAACATGCCTGAAGCCTTTTCTCCAGCCCGCAGCTTCGCTGAGCTTCGCTGCGAAAATTCCACGAACTTGTGACGGGTTTTTCAGGGAATGCATTGAGATAAAGCAATAACTTCCTTGCAAGCGCTCAAAGAGCTTCGTTTGACGACACCTGCATTGAAGACATTACCTTCAGGCATGCGTGCCCACCGAGGTCAGACAGTTCCTTGTGTGGCATAGCGAACTTTAGCCCGACTAAGCTGTTCAAATCGCTGTTGATGGACTTGATCCTGCAGTACTCATCAGTCCGAAAACGCTGAACGAAGTACTTCGCCCTTCAAAGATGCTCCCTCAACTTCGTCCGCCTGCCCAACTGACCTCAAGTCCTAAATGCCAGGTGCCTCTCCGACGGCCCCAGGAGGACCGGGGGGGTGCGGCTGCATGGAGCATCCATGATTGTAAGAGCCCGAACACTTGGGGCACTTATGACAATGCCAAAAAAGATAACAAAGTTGGTATTCAACCACAGGAGTCGCCCTCCAGGCGCCCACCTGTGCAGCCAGCCGTCGAGCCAAGGCGCTTTGGGGCTTCTGGAAGAGAGTGTCGTCAGGAATGTTTACTGCTTCCGCAGCCCATGCAAGTGGCGCCTCCGATCTGAAAAAAAGGGTTTGTGGGTCAGGTCATTTTGTCTCGCTGGGCTAAAGTATTTCTTGAGGCAAGCTTGTGAAAGGTGGAGGTACAAGTCAGGCTTCAAGTGTTTCAACAGCTAACCTTGCTAGTCCTAGCAGAAATGCAGGCGCTCGGTAGTACATGAGCGAGCTCCACCGGCTCGCGAGGGTGCAGGGGCCGGGAGCTTGGAGCGTTGCTCATGGTCAGCCGAGAGCATCACAAGGATACTTGTGATGATTAGGTTGGGTATCATTTAGCGTGTGCGCTTCCTCATTACTGGTTTGTTGTACAAGGATCTCAACAGCACAGGTTTGTTGCAGGCAGGCTTTGTTTGGCTGCTGAAAGTGCAGGCAAGCGCCAGGGAGAAGCCATGAAACATGAGCGCGTCGGCAATTGGTAAGACTGAGTAGAAAATGCATCTTCCTTTTCAGTCCTCACTGCTACTGCAGAGTAGTGTACCGCGTAGCAAGGATGCCAAATCTGAGGGTAACCTGGTACCTCTAGATAAATTGTCAGCTGATCGTCCTTGCCCTTGGCCTTGCCCTCTTCCCAAATCGCCCAGCCACGACCGTCCTCGACGCCGCTGGATGACCCCGACCTGGTCAAGGTTGCTGGCCCAGGCTCCTCCCTGCAAGGACAGCGAGCTGCTGCCATGATTTCTGTTTTGCCTGCAACAAGTACTTCTCAGTAACAGCAATGTTAGTATGGCTGGAACAACTATTGCTCAAACTGCTCCTCCTTACAGTGCGGCTTCTGATTCTGTGACCAAACTTGTCAGTTGACCCTCCAGCACCTGATGCTTTACTGGCCCAATTGGCCCAATTTTTGTGAGTGGGACAGAGCTTTTCAAGTACCACAGTTGGCGATAAGTTATTGAGCATCCTACAGCTTTTACTTCGCTAATCCTGGTATCGTCTAGAAAGCTCACTTACGCACGCCCCAGCACCTTGAGAAGAGTCCAACTGCTTTCTATTCTGTTGTTGCTCATATTTCCAGCGCTTACCCATGGGTTGTCCTCAACGGCCTTTTCCACTCTCACTCCTTCCGGGAACACAGACCGAAAAAGGACACTCAACACTCATTTGACCAGGGCAGCGCCGCCCGGCCTTCCGGTCTGCACCGGCTCGCGAAACTCTGCCGCCGGACAGGGGGGCTGGAAGATAACTAAAATCAGTTTGGGCTACAGGGTGTAGATGGGGCAGGCTAGTATGTAGGTGTCAGGGTATGGTACCAAGTTCAGATTCAGGGTATAGAGTTGGTTTTGGGTAGGAGGGTCCAGGGTACATGGTGGGGGATTTCCGATATAGAGTTTATGGTTGCGGGGATTGTCTCGGAGAAAAAGGCACTCAGCCGAGTGAGTACAACGGGACACACATCCCTGAAGAGATCTAGAGCACGAATCCCCCAAATGCATCTACAGTTTGTGGCATGCCTCCCTGTTTGCCTGCATGCCTACCAACCACCTACTTTCCTACTTGCCTTCCTGCCAACCTACCTATCTATTATACTATTCGCTGCTGCTGCTGCTGCCACGACGATTAGACGACGACTACTGCTGCTGCTCCTGCTAGTACTAGAGGCCCTCCTACCAACTACACCTCCTGGAAAAAACCGGAGACATTGGGCAGGGTTCAAATTGAAATGTATGTAGGTTTGATGGTTACAGCATGCTGTCTTGGCCACCGCTTGTGACTTGGACTTGCTTCCATCCATCCATCCCAAACTGAAGGGCATTCAGTTACGGACTGCAAAGTCTTGGGGCTGTTGTTGGGCGCGGGGTAAACATGGAGCATCTCCGAGGGTTGTTCTGCCACTGTTTCTCACAGGGCATGCAATTATGCACCTTCTCCCCCACTCGACATTGCAATATCCAGCACTCCAGGTCTGGTACCAATTTCAAAATTGTGTGGTTGGTAGCGGGGGCGCGCCTCCTATTCCTACTCCTACAGTACTACTGCTGCTGCTACTACTACTACTACTGCTACTACTAAATATGTTGATTTCTGTGACTGCAAATAATGTTTGTACATGTAAGCATAACACAGGACAATACAAATAACCGGAATTACAATTATCAGAATTGATGGCATCCCCTATTGACCTGCAGGAGGACCTCGTGGAGCAGCGCAGGCCACCGCAGAGGCCTCCTCACAGGGACCTAAGGTCGGACTCATAGAGGCTCAGGGTTCGGACCAAGACCATCCAGGAAAGCTTTGAGGTCCTGGAGTCGAGCCTGGTAGGAAGTTCAGATGATCAAGGCAGGGTGAGCCTGAAGTAAAGACGCGTGATGGAGGTCACGGATAAGAGCACCCGCGGCACATGTTGCAAAGGAGTGCAAGCCATGATGATCTGCAAAGTATGAAAGCAGGATCCCTTACATTGCCACTCACCGGCTGCAAAAATGAAACAGAATCCAAGCGTTGCTTGCATCGAGTGTGGGTTTGCAGACATTTCCTTGGCAGGAAAAACTCGCAGCCTTACGATCCCAGCCCTGGATTCAAGACCGACGGCACTTGCATGCCTGGGCGTGAGGGCGGGCTTTGATGGGTTGTGGCCTTGTGCTAGGAGCAGCTCCCACGGCAGTACATTGCAACCACACGCATTCATCCTTCTGCAACTTGCTGGAAGTAAGTGCTACCAGGAGTGGGCCACCTGAGTCGCCCGTTCGTGGTGCCGGTGCAGGCAGCAGTTTTTCGATGCGTGTCTTTGCCACGCAGCGTTGGTCTGGATTGAAGAACATACAGTAACAAGCCTACGGTTTCCATGCTAAGCCCATCCATGCAGGCTTCCAACAAGGTCGGCGAGACAGCGAGGTGTGGACGTGTGGGTTTGAAGATTCATTTCAGCCTCATGCGCATCTGACTTTAAGGAGCATCTGCTGCAGGATGACTCTCCATTAGGGGTCAGTCAGAACCCCAAGCTTACTTGGAATAATCCCTGATATGATTACCATCCTGGAATTCTCGAAGAGTCCGTTACTGGGTATTCTGAAGCTGCTCTGCTCTGCTCAGATGGCCTCGCCTTTTGCTGACTTCGATGGCCGCAGCCGGCCGCCCTTCGAAGGCCTTGTAAACCGGGAGGATCTTAACTTGTTGTCTTTGCAAAGATGGCAGTGAGGGTGCTGATAGCCCACACAAGGTGTCGTAAACATTTCGCATCTCACTGACTCAATGGGCACTTTGAGGACGGGCCGCATTTTGCGAATGACTGGTATGGTCTTGGTAGCACTGAACCGTCAATCTGAGAGTGTGGCTGTGGCTGGGCATGTCCTTCCCGAAATGAGATGCGGGTATTTGTCACAAGGTCATAGTGTACCTCAATGAATCAAGCATTCTTCTCTGACCTCTGAACCAGCCTGTTTAGTTATTGAACATCTTGCTTGAAGGAGTGGGCTGCAAGGGAAACATTTTTCTAGGAGGCAAAGACTGGCAAGGTCCTTCAAAGCTTACACTACTTAATCCCACTTCCTAAGAGCGTATTACTTGAAGCTTGCCACAAGTGCAAGGCCGCCCTGGAAATGCGTGGTCCGACGGGCGAGATGCTGAACAGCCCCGCGCTTCGTTGACTTTGCCTCATGCGTGCTTGAAAGCAGAAGACTGCGCTGCTGTGTGCTGGTGTATGAGGTTCGTGTTTCCAGGGGGAGACATGTAGTCTTTTCATTCCTGCTTCTGAATTGGGATCTCTGCACCAAAGCTGACACATGTCTGCTTCCCTGTTCCTGTACCGTGCTTTCCCAGTCCCCTGGCTGCTGCGCCACACCGAGAAGAGGCCCGAACTTCAGGTATTCCGATCCTGCGGAGCATCCAAGCTGTAGCCTGTAGATGCTGTGGAACGCTCGTTCTCGAAGCAGCTCCAGTCTTACGGGTGTCAAGATGAATGAATCTATGGTGTTCCTTTTGTACTTCCCAATGATGGTCCCAAAACCTCATTCCCTCATTCCCTGCTCCCCGAAACAGTCCCCAGAGCATGCCTTTCTAATTCCCACCTAGTTTCTTGAGAAAGCTCTGAAGCCTAATACCTACTCCTCCCTGATCCGTAAACGTCATAGGACCTAAACGCCAGCTCTATTCATTACTCATGCGAAGGGTTCACGACTCGCTGCGAATGGCGCGAGCCGTACCGACAACATCCTGTGCGCCGTGCTGGCGCTCGTCAAGGAGATCAGTACATTAAGGGTCAAGGATTTAGGATTTAGGAATCTGGGTGAAGGGCTTGGGATTTTGTTGCAGATTTGTCAAGGGGTTGCGGATTGTTGGAGTAGTGGCCACCTTGCTTTGTTACGAAAGGTTCCTCAAGCTTTCGTCCAGGTCCAGCTTTGCTGATCTGTACTAAGGGGGTGTGGGGGTTAGGAAGGCCCAAAAGTGGTCAAATTTGGCCGTGTTTCGCAGGCCAGACCCCATGGCAGGAGGGTTTTGGGGAGGCCTCTGTTTATGTGCGGTTTTGGGGTGTCGTTTCGGGTGCCGTGGAGGTCGTTTGGGACGCCAGATGGCAGGTTTTTTGGGCACGTTGGAAGCCGTTCTTGGGCACGCGGAGGCCGTTCGCGCTCCGCCGCTTCATGAAAAATGCACGTGCTAGTACCCACCCTGCTTGAAAGCTTTCGTCCCCCCCCGCCCCCCCCCACGGGCGCAAGTTTGCACAATATGATAATCTACAACGAGGAACCCGTGGGGAAGACATGAGTAACAACTGGTGAGAACGTGCGACTGACAATATGACTTGTAATTGTGGCGAAGGTTCCCATCCTAATCATACGAGATTAACCCTAAAGCGCTTGCGCGCCGCAGGGGGTTAAGCACACTAGGTCTTTTTCAAATCCGCCTTTATTTCTATATCGCCTGATCCGGCAATAGAGATTGCCACAGAGACCCGGTGATAATTTGTCAGCGACAACGAAGACACCATTTTCCATCAGACGAAGCATCATTGCAGCATGTTGAGCATGGCAACAGTCACATGGCAATTCCAAGAAAGGTTAGAATCAATGTACAAAGCTCGACAAGCTAGAATTTGGATGACAATCGTCATAAGGGGCCAATGCTGGCTTTGGGGCTTTCCCTAAGAATTTGTTTGTTTCTATTAATGTGGGATTCTCTGTAGGAGGATTAACTTTACAGAGGCAGCCGGAAAATTTGATCCACTCCCCCCCCCCCCCTCACCATCCCTGTGACAGCCCGGGGCATATATCATCCCTAAATTTCCGCAAAAAAGCAGCACAATTGTCAGGACACCCCACATGGCCAACTTCGTGTCATCATAGCTTGCATTCAACCATCATTGCACCTTAACAGCCTCCGCAAAAGCTCGTCACCCATTAAGACCCCCATACCATGCAGGAGTTGGATAGACAGGGGCTAGAGCTGGTGCGGCGCAGGAGCCTCTGTTAGAAGGACTCTCGGGGAGGGGGAGGTCTTGGGCTGCGCCGGACGGCCTGTTACCAGGACCTGACTGTTGGGGCATACTTTGGTGTGCACTTTTAGGAAGCTTTGCTTGCACTAAACTGATCTCATCACGTCTCAGAAGCAGTATCGCCTCCGAAAGTTCTTCAAGTCTAATAACGTTTACGGTAACACAGGGCCACTGTCATTTTGATGGGGCTCCTCTGGTTTCAACCGAGTGTTGGCCAAGGCTTATGTTGGGGATCTCGAAGTGCGGCTTTGCAGCCACCAAGCCATTCCATGAGTTGAGAGTTGAGGCACGCCACCACAAAAGACACGCGAAACCCTTGAAACAATGCAACTGGAAATTCCCAAGCAGATTACCACTCTGACGCGGCCAAGGTTCTGTGGAGCAGCGCATGTCGGACTTCTGAGGTCACAGCCCCCGATTGCTTCCAGCGGGAGAAACCAAGATAAGGAGGCATAGCAGTAGAAGCTTGTAACATCTCACGGTTCTCAAGATATGTTTTCTCTGGCTCTCAGAAGACAAATCCTCTTCTCAAGGTATTATATGGTGTTTAGCACGGCACCCATTTCGGTGCAGGGTGGCAGGGAGAGCTTTGAGGGTGACAACAGTTGGTTTCAGAGATGACTCAGATGAATGTAAATTAAGAGCGGCTGAATTCGAACCCCAAGTGATTGCTGAATTTCCAGAAGAGTGGTATTATGCAAAAGTAAGGAGGATGTGTCCTCCTCGCTCCTGCTAGCGAGCCTGGGTGGCAGATTGGAGTGAGGGACATTTCCAGCTGTGTTTGTCTCGAGATGGGCCCAGAGTGCGACGTGGTTCGGGCTTGATGGTATTGTAAGTCAGCAGGTTTGTTGGAGGCAGCGGTACCTGTGGTCCAATTCTCAAACGCCTACATAACGCAGAAGGTCGAAGCTGACAGCTACGGTATGCCGGCTGAAGTAGCATAGAACTCAATCCTGAATCGACGAAACAGCTGGACCACACCTTCTCTGCAATACCAACGATGGCTGTAAGGCTCTGTGACAGACTGCAGACTGCCCGCAGGTGTGTTTTGATCATCTCAGTTCTCATGCATGGGAGTGATCTAGCTCAGCTCGGAGTCTGCTCTGCCCACTGCTGTGTGCATAGTCCCTTTCCATAGAAACCTGAAGCAAACTTGCGTTTGCCGTCTTGTTTTTTCGCATCACTTTGCAAGGGTTGCAATGGGGTGCTGTTCTCAATTTAGTCAGGTTTCTACATTACAGGCTCGCTTGCCGTGCAAGTCAGAAGCGCACCCTGCTTCATCCAGCCAACCTGGCCAGAAAAGACACCCAACTGCAGAAATGTGAGCCATCCTCCACACACTTCTAACTTCTAGGGATCTCTAGGGTTTCGTGCATAGAGCTTTTTTGCGTAGCTCACGCGAAGCTCATTGTTGGTGTCTTTGCCAGGGCTCTAAGAGGCAAAAATTGTCTCAAATCGTCCGCGCGTCCATCATGTTCCGCTGGCAATGCAGCTTGTTATGCCCAAGACGGTAGTGTACAGTTCTCTGCTCAGTAGAGGTTACACAGGAGATGTTGGCCACTATGGCCCACTTTACTTTCTCAATTTCCTTGTTTCAGGTAGCGGATATCAGCAAGCCATGTCCCAAAATTAAGGTTCCGCCCCCATGCAATCTCAAAGTAGCGTCTCCCATGAATATTAGACCCTCCAAAACTCGGTAATTTTCAACACAGCTGCATATTTCCAGCCGGACGCATGGGGCCCCAGAAGTCCATAACATACCCTGCAAGAGAAAAGGGCAGCTGGCCACAGAAGACTTTGGGTTTAGGGTGCTTACTGCTTGAAGGTGAGCCTGCTCCATCTGAACATCTAAGTACCATGTTTTGTTGGATGCCAAGCCTTTGGACGGGAGGCACTTCTTGTACCAGACCTGAGATGGAATATGGTGAATGATCTCATTTGTAGCATGTCAAAAAGGGCAACAGTTGTCACGGATGTTCCCAAGCATTTTTGTTGTGTGTACTGTTCAATTACCAAGTAGAATGCCCGCAACCAAGAAAGTGCCCAGGCAATATTCTGATCAATCTGATGTTTGGTATTTTCTGCTGAAAATGTTTTTTGATTTGTAAGGATCTAGAGTTGATGGCGCTTGCCCTTTATGGGATTGCTCTGGATTATGTAGGGCAAGGGCGCCATTTCTCATTTCCAGAGGAATCCTCTCTTCATGCGCAAGCACTTCCCTTCGAAGCAGTTCCCCTTGTCTCTTCTTGTGCCCGCTTCCACAGCACTTAGCTTTCGTCATCAGTGACGGTCTGAGCAGCAACGAAGACCATCAACTCTGAGCCTGACAACGATGATAAAGACGGTCGCAGTGCTGATGATTGTGGCGGTGGTGATGATGATGATGATGATGATGATGACAAAGCTAATGCTGATCCCGGCCCCGCACGATGATGAGTACATAGAGGCAACAACCGCTCTGTTGTCCTAGTTCTCTTTGCTCAACGTCGTTGTTGCAGCCGCAGAGGAGGTTTGACACATGGAAGAGATTTGGGGAATTCCTGCATATCACTGCACGTGACAGGTCGTTCTCCACAATGAATGCAGCTTCATCCTACTGTTGATTTGTCTTCATGTCTGTCCATGAATTCGGGCAGCCAATGGCAGGGCCGAGCTGGGCCCCGCAGGTCGACTCGGCCATTTGTACAAGGGCACATAAGGACCCCAAAAGATTGAACATCTTAGATTCGTGGTGGCCGCAGTCTACAGCTCAAGCAGTTTGGTGGACAGAGGATTGGGTTATCAACACCTTTGAGTATGCAAGGCCGTGGTCCCAGGTATGAACCAAGTTGAATGCGCATACTTGAACCGCTGCATCCTTGAATGGCAATTATCGGAGAAAGCAGCACATTTGTTATCGGTCACGGCCACTTGTGTGTTAGACTATCTCTGACTACGTATCATCCAACTAAAGAACATGAGGAGATCCATGAACAAATAGACTGTCAGTGATGCCGGATAGACAAAGTTGAAAACATGAAAAGCTTGTCAACCCGAGCCATGGGGCTGCGTGGCAGGGAGCTGTTCACCGCAGTTGTGCTGTTGACCATGGCAGTTGAAGCAAACGTTGAATTACCAGACGTGATTGAGGATGCGGAGGCAGTCAGCCAGATGCAGCCGCCAACTGCATTGGTGACACTTCCGCCGAAGATCTTGCCAAGCATACCAGAGATCCAAGCCATGCCGGATGCGAATAGGAACGGCAGGAAGCATTTCTATGTCTCTGCTCTGGTCCTGGCATACTTGGGTGTTGTGATAGTTGGCACTTGTATACTTTGGTTGGGCACCAAGTGCAAGAATCGCGGAGCCCGGGAACCACAGCACATTCTGACCGGAATGGATGATGCAGCCGAAGCAGCTCCAGAACTGCCTCCAGCTAAGGCAGGCTTGAGTCGCAGGTGCGCAAACTGCAGAAAACATTGTGTGATGAAGGTTTTCGGGAAGGTTATAGGATGGTCTTAATATTCAAAGTCTGTTGAAGCAGGTGTTCGCGTGTGCTCTTTGCGCTGGCCTTCAGTGTCACCTACGCCATATGCTTGGCAGCAGCTTTTGCCAGCAGCGCCACTGGCAGGCTAAGCCATGATCTGGGCCTTTGCTGGGAGGCTTACTTGATACTGTTCGCCATGGCCGGTGGATGGTTGCTGCTATGTTGCATTGGTGCAGTAGTTGTAGTGTTCGGTGGTGGTGCAGTGGTGCTGGTGATCCTTCCGCTTCCGCTTATCGGGAGCGCAGCAATGTTGTTGGTTTTCAATTTTTTGGAAATTTTCAAACCCGGGGCAGTCTGTAATTTTGTGCAGGAGGTACGGATGATAATGAACTAACCTGAAGCAATGCAGTTACGGAATGTTTTTTGAGCCAAGCGGAGGTCAAGCAGCCTCAGCAAACCTTCTCCAAAAGTTTAAGAGATCCCCGTGTTCAGCTAAGGCTGCTGCAAGCTTGCATTGCTGCCTTGATCTTGCCAAGAGGGCGCAGGCAACCCTGGTGTCAGAACAGTGATTTGGACCCAAGCTAAGCTAAGCCTTGTTTTACAAGAAATCTAGAGGCAGGTTTTTACGTGGTAAGGTTCTGCCTGCTCAGCAGGCTTACTACCTATATACTTTTTCGAAATGTCGGGAAAGTTCAGGGGGAGCAATAACATCCGATTGTTTTTGGAGGTGTCTCCAAGCTAGGGTCATTTAACGGTTCCCAGAAGGGTGGCTTGCTGGTCTTCAAGGAATCCAGTCTTGGCTTTTCACAGCTGGACCAGTTTTGGGCAGCACACCAACAGCAGTCAAGATGATGTCAAGATGCCCCTTGTGACGCCAAGGTTTTGCGGCCATATAGCTTCGGTGAAGCACCCAAAACGGTAGACATAGAAGCTCCCAATTTCAGCCTAGCCTTGTGTGGTAACTTGCCAGAGTATGATGCCGTACTTCAAGACAGTATGTAGCAATACTACACCAACAGCACCAAAGGCTAGCATTAAGAACTCGAAGAGGTATGGTCTGCGGACGTTTCCTTCGGCCTCTCTCAGTGGAATGTGCCCGTTCATCTCGGACGCCTATGACACGCTAAAGGAGACCCACTGCATGGTTTAGAATCTGGAACACTTTCTACTACCTTGTAGCGTGACCTTTTCGAGTACAAGCGTTTCCTTCAGTGCCTCTGCTGCCTTTGCTGCTCCTCTTACTCTCTTACTCCTCCTCCTTATTCGCCTCGATGTGGCTTCTGCAGGTTAGGTGGCCGGGCCCCACAGCACTTCCAGAGAAAGCCCGACCTAGGCATCCCACAATGATCCAAGCATGAGATCCCCTGTGGAAACCTGTAGTCTACCCGGTGTCATTGCAGGCATAGGGTTTTTTCGGAGGCTTTGAGGGTCTGCGAGTGTCAGGATGCCATCTTTGCCGCCCTGTGCCTACAAAGTGAGGCGGTGGTTGTGAAGATCGTCGGAGTCCTGAGCCTGGCAGGGTGTCAAAACTCTGGGGTTAGCATGGTGCCATGCTTAGTCATGCAAGTATGGATCACACTAATCTAGGTTTGCCCCTGCTACAATGTCCATCCCTAAAGGTGCACCTTGCGGGCTTACACATCTATTATAGCTTCTTCGATGACAAGTGCCTCGCACAGCTCTGTGGGCCGCCTGCCTGCAAAAGTTGATTCTGTCAAGCCTGGACGGCCTGACTATACTAGCTGCAATGGCTCCTCGGTTTGGGTACCAAAAGCACTTGGGGCGGCGTCTGTTAGCAAATGGAATTGATCGTTCATGTATATGCCAGATTGTCAAGGTGTCGCTGTCTGGCAGATTTGTCCCGTCAAGCGAACCCAAGATTGATGTGACTTGCTAGGGGTTCTAAATTTGGATGCCTGCAAAGAATGCACGACTTAAGCAGCTTCAGTAGATTTAGTTGTAAAACATCAACCCTCTGTTGCATTCTACCTACCGTTATCACTAGGAGTTTGTAGCGTAGAGGACAGTGTGGACCTGACATGTTTGGCTCAAGG